TACATACAATTTATATTTATTAACAATATTTACCTAAAACAAATATAGTTAATAGGTAATAAATAATTTTATATCATAATTAAAATAATTTACCTTCTACAATATATATTTTGTAAAGAGGAAATTTAACTTGCTTAGCAAGCTCTTCAATTTTGGTCTTCAAAATACCATCGGGTAATGGTGTATATTTGTCGAATAATGGAGCAATAAATTCTGGATATACTGTCATGATAAATAATGAAGTCACCACAGCAAATACCCACAGCCAGATAAAGAAATAACGTCCACCCCATTTAACAATAGTTATTGCCGCTGCAGTTATTGGTAATGATATTACTTGAACCAATAAAAAATTTTTGATCTTGTCTTTAATGAAGAAATTTAAATTCTAGATAAAAATTAAAAAATAAAAATATTAATAAATAAATATTAAATACAAAATTGATATTAGGTATTTAATTTGATAATTTACTTGTTTATTAAACCCATGTTTTTCCTCAATAATAAAAGTGCTGTATGCTGATATTGGTAAAGACATTAGTGTACCCAAAGTATTCATACATAGAAGAAATACACAACTGGTCATGATTTCACTATCATTATAACGAGTTTCAATCAAACAATATTTGCTAAAATTCCACAATATTGTAAATCCATTTAAACAGATGAAACTCTAAACAATTAAAATAAATCATACATTTTTTAGTTCATTAAAATACTGTAATTATATAATTTTGATAAAATATGGAGTGTAATATTAATTTTAATTTTATTATGTTCAATTATTAATTATATTTATAAAAATCTATAAATCCTAAACTCCACAAATAAAAAGCTGCTTTATTTTCTTTATAATTGTAAGTTATTTAAGTGAATAAGTCAAAAATTAAATGCGTGTAATACATGAACATATTGGTCTAGACATTTATTTTTCTTTTACCTATTTTTTAAAGGTTGATTAAAGCTTGAAAAATTTCTAAAATATGTGTGTGGTTTCTTATTTAAATATTACTAGATATACAAAATTTAACAATAATCTAACATAAAAAACAACTTTGTTTTATTTATTAAAATTAAAATAAAATTAGTATAAAAAGTACTTGTAAATGTTGGAAAATGATAATAATAGTTTGCTCTCTTTTTATATATTATTTAGTTCACATATGATATATTACATTTCATATTCAACATTAAGACACTGTTTTTTCATAAAGTTTTGAATTAAATTATCAATGAATTATATATATCATAAGACTAAAAATGATTATCAATAATCATTAAAATACCTAGAAGTATATTACAGAAATATTGCAAATATTAAGAAGGTAATTTTAAATATATACATGTAAAATATGATTTTATTTTAAATTATGTAACTAATTAAACAGAAAAATAAAAATAACAATAATTTTTCTTGATATCATGACGACAGTATTTTAAATAAGTAATAATAATGGAAGATAGATTAATATTTTTTTTAATTTGTTGGTTAGGTCTATTTTTGTATAAAATAGGTAGGAAGTACATCAAAATATAAATATGATATAAAAAAAAAAAAAAAAAAAATGATTTATTTTTGGTAGACTTAACATAACTTATTTTATAATTTTTTACTTACGGTTGAAATGATCATATTAATCCATTCTTCAGCTATACTAAAACTATTTTTGTCAATACCATAAGATTTTGCTTTATTAAATGTTTCCACATCTAATACATCAGTTAATCTACTGGGAATTTCATTTGTAGTTTTATATACACGTCTCTAAAAATGTTTAACATCAATTAATGAAGAATTAAATAAACATTTGTACTATTCATTTTTTCATTAGATTTTGCATAAAATCAAAATTGTACAAAAAATTAGTATAATAATTATGAATATACATTTATCCTACATAGTCACATAAATAATGGATTTTTACATATAAAATGCAAATATTTTACCTGTCTTAGCGTTAAATACTGTTCCCATAGGAATTCTATCCAAGAAAAAGTTAAAACACCATAAAATACACAAAATTCGGGTATCATGATTAAAAATTGGTCGAAATTTATATCAACTTAAAATGTAATAATATAATACTTATTGACTATTCAACCACATATGAAACAAATTATGTGAAATTAGAGAATTCATAAAGAAATAAATAACATAATATTCACACTTCACACTAAGAATGACAGAATAGTTGGTTGTAAAATTGTAAAATTTTAAGTACGAAATTGAAATACGAAATGGCAAATACCAATATATTATAATTAGTCGAAGTCTATAGATAACAAACACAAACAACAACAAAATACAAGCCGACAAATAAGCAAATCAGTGTGAACCGGAATTCATAAAATTTTATTCGCCAATCTCGACCACACTGTATTTTCCATTTAATAAATAAGCCAACATAAAATTATCTATCTTTCCAGTTTTCTACTACATAATTTTTTCATATAATAATATTATTTTATATTTATATTTTACATCTTAATTTGATCCTTATCCTTAATGCTTAATTTATATAGTTATATTATTATAAGATATAAGTAGATTGTAAAATTGTTAAGTGTTAATCAACTAGACGGTCTTAATAATAATAACTATTTTCAAGGCTCTGTAATTATAAATACCTACTTACTGAGTTGTAATGGGTATTATAATTTGATTAATATAATAATTAATATTTAATATAATTTATACTAAATTGAAAATTAAAAAATTCTTGGAAGTACCTAATATGGAATAACAATTTGACTTAGTTTCGATTATGAGGTATTAGGACTGATAACAAAAAATATATACTGTCATGGTTTGATTAATCAATTGTTGATTAATTAATAATCTAATTAAGCGTAAACGTACTTTAAAATTTGATTATATACAATTATATACACAGGCATACACATGATATGTACTATTTTTTTAAATTCAACATTGGATTATATAAAAATTTGGCAGATATAAAATTAGGTATACTTACGTATATAGGTATCTTATTTAGTAATTACACAGTCACACATACTATGAAATTTATTGAATGACTAATTAATAAGTATAGTGTATCAAGTATTCATGTGTATGCCAGCTAATGTGCTCTGTGGTATTTATGGTTTATTAAAACTGAAATCTGAATGGAACGATGATGCCCAATAGATTCATATAACTAAATTGAATTTTTAGGATTCGTTGAACCATAAATACCTATCTACTATAGCTACTACGGTGCTAGTGAGTGCTACTAGTTACTATTATAAATAATAATAAATTATTATAGAAGTCATTATGTAGTTAAACAGTCATAAACGTTATGTTAGTGCAGCTTATTTTAGTAACCTCGTTAATGTACAATTGCATTTCTGTAGCTTAAAAACCCACTTGAACTTCAGAGAACTGTACTCACAAATTAAGGCTACATAACTACGCCCACGTATACTTACATAATTATAGGTACATGAATTATTATTTATTATTGCTAATTTAGTAAGTTTAAGAAAGGAATCTATATAAAAAATATAGGTACTTATAATAGCATAAATAACATTGAAACTTGAGAGTATTTATGAGACATATTATAGATTATTGGTAGATTGCAGGTATCCTAATATCAGTAATAACTATGGCTATATATACCTAGTTAACGCTTTTGGAGAAAATTAATTGTATGATCTATATACCAATTTTTGTAATAGTAAGAATTTTATTTCTCTATACATTACCTGTACCCCGTCCCCGTGTATAATAATAAATATTTTTTTACATAATTTTCTAAATTTTATATCTCCATTAGGTGTTTAAGCATTAAAAAAATTGTAATAAGTACAATTTGCATTTAAAATTTTGGCCTTTGGGCATATATAAACTGCGCCTAAATGACTTTTTTTGTAAACTTCGTCTGAAATTTTATCTATATGTTAAAAAGGTGTAATGTAAACTGCACTCGTCAACTTAAACTGTGCCCCATTTGAAATACACAAAACTTTTGACTTTTTAAAGTCTTAATAATTGTGCACTTTTTTAAATTATATCAAAGAAATTTAATTTCGTCTAAAAATACCAGCACGTTATCGAATAATTATTTCATTCTAAAACAAACAAAAAAAAAAAAAAAAACGCGAAAATTTACAAAATATAATTAATAAATATAATAGTGGTCAAATTTTAACTGATGAATATGTACCTAACAACAATGTGTTATTATTTGTAATTATTTCACTTTTTAAAATCATATATATTTGTTTTTAATTCTTATTATAATTTTAATTTTAATTCTTCATATTTTATGGTTGTATTGAACTAATGAATTAAATATAGATAGATATACCTATTATACATTAAAGATAATTTTGCATAAATAATATAGCTATTGATTTTTAAAATTTTACTCGGGTGTAGTTTATATGTAATCTTTTTACACTTGATAAAAACTTGGGCGCAGTTAACATGTGTGATTTTGGGTTTATATGTATTTTGGGCGCAATTTACAATCACCGAAAAATTTGATAGTACAGTCAATAGCTAAGTATACCTACTCATTAGTCGATGCCCGATGGTTAATAGTAATAGTGTATTTTGTTTTACCTATGTGGCATCGTACTACTAATGGTATCAACACTAACAACTGGCCGTAGCCATTTTCCTCCAAAAACAAAATACCGTTTTCCTCCACTGTCCATTTTCCTCCAAAAAAGAAAAAAAAATTTTTTGACCATTTTCCTCCACTTTCCATTTTCCTCCAATAAATAAAATAATAAAATCGTCATTCTTTATCAAAATATTAAATTAAAAAAAAAAAATAACAAATCAAATATTTAAATTTTAAAGTATAATTGTAATATAATAATACACCGTACGCGCTGAACTTGGCAGGTGGCTAAAAAGAGAAATAATATAATAAAAAGTACTCACGTCAATAAAAATGCATCAATTAATAAATAAAATAATAATAAAAAATTAGTTAATAATATAATATGTAAAATAAAAGATATAAAATATAGTAAAATCACTGCAGTAAATAATATTACATTTTTTTATAATTATAAGACATCTCAGCAACAAATGAATACCTGTTGGAAGAAAATAAAAATTAGATATAATATGAATAATTATTTCACTTTTTGTAATTAGGTACATACCTAGACATTTCTCCGTTTTGTAATTTGATAATTGCATCGTCGATTGCTCCACGACGCTTGTTTGCTCGGTAATCCTTTGATTTTTTTGGAACATGTATACTTCTCATTTTACAATAAATATTTGTTTGAGTTTGCTTTATGATATTAAGCCACATAAATATATTAGGCTTTTCTTTATAAAAGTTTTCTTTGAAATGAGAGTGGAAAGACTCGCATGCATTAGTGGTTCTTGATAACGAAGAAGACGATTCTGCCCAAATAACTGGCGGAAATATAGAATTTTCCGAAATATACGTATCAGTTAAATAATCAGCGTACTGACTCACTCTTTGATCGTTTGGTATAATACTCATAAAATCTTCAATAAAACATTTGGAAACTTCTTGTGGACTTAGAAATGTGAGTCCAAACGTGTTTCTTATCCAAGACCCAATTTCAGAGTTTTTTTCCTTATAGTATTGAACTAAACCGAGATTTTGGATTTTCCGAAACCATGATTGTGTCAGGTGAAATCTACAGCCAACTATTAGTGTATCAGGCCATACTATAGAAACAGCATCATGAATAGCTTGCTCGAAATCAATTGTGATTGATTTTGGGTTTATTGTCAATTTTAATTCAATGCATTTAAGTATAATATGGTTAAATGTATTAATATATGTATCAGTGGATTTATTAACTAGAAGACAAAACACAACAGGTATATAATGTCCGTTTTTTAAAGCCATGTATTGTAAACATTTGGTTAAAATGTTTAGCACTGTATGTAAATGTACCATCGCAATAAATATTTTCAGATTCACATAAAAATTTCAAGTTTTGGTAACAAGAAAATATTAACACATTTTTACTATCATCATTAACTAGTAAAAATTGTTCTTCAGAAGTAGTTTTAATATCCATATTGTTGATTGTTAAATGTACCTCTTCAACATTTTTCGGCAGGTTCGGCAGCAAAGATTGACGGGCAGCATAAATATTTTTCCTGATTTTATGAATATCGGTATCATCAAAATTTGAACAGTCGGCAGAACTTTGTCCTAATTCCTTAAGTATCACTTTTTTTCGGTCGTGAAAATAAATCGTCAATTGCTTTTCGCTTACATGCATTATTCACTATTTGTCGATTTACTTTTTTTGGCGATGGCAAATGATTATGTACATTTTTGTGTGACTCATCGGCTACTATTTCTTCATTTTTATCAGTGTATATAACTGCTTGACAAGTCGTTAAACAACATCGCCAACGTGATAATTCAGATTTTAACTTATATGCTAAGAAATACTTGTAACTATCACGAATTATCAAAGGTTTTCCTCGAGAACTTTCAATGAACGTCGCTTTTTCAGACATGTTAAAAATTAAAACTTGCTAAACTATAAAACACGTAATAGACACTATCGGCGTACGGTAAAGTCGGGTAAACTACTAAAAATATAGTCTTATTGATACGAGTATTTAGTATATTCGTGTGTCTGTTTATCTCAATGTGTTTAATCATAATAATCAGTGACAATTGTATTGATGATACACAATATAAATATATACGTATATACCCATATGTTGTTTGTACGTATCTTTATTAGGCTTAATCAAAGTTAAAATCGACTGTTATAAACCGCGTGTGCTGTGGAACACTTGGACTAGCGTTTTTCCCTAGCCGATAAAAACGCGACAAGAATTTAATCAACAAATACGCGCAAAATGTAATCTAGCCATACTCTATTTTTATAATAAAAACACTGACTAAATATTGGAGGAAAATAGACATAATTTTAGTCAAAAATAATGTGGAGGAAAATGGAAACCAACCTTTTTTGTTTTTGGCGGAAAATGGACAGTGGAGGAAAACGGTATCTCGTTTTTGGAGGAAAATGGTCCCGCCCTAACAACTAACAAGGTACGTTATATCCAATAATAATCATTAATAATAGGTAAAATATTTACTTAATACTTGGTGCTTAATTAAATAATAATAGGCACAATAATATAAACTATGAAATATATACCTAGCTAATTAACTTGATATAGGTATATCATGTTATAATATATTATCATTCAATTTAAATTAGGTTATTGTGCAATAAATCAACTTTTTTTATTTTTACAATTTTTCTTTCTTACACAATTGCGATATAATAATAATAATATTAAATATTAATAATAGGTTTAACTAGTAATTTTCTGGCATAATGTATTCAATATGGCAATAATTAGTGGTAGCTGATATCAGTGATATCATTTTTTGCGGTCGTGGGGTCTTCCTCTCTTGAGACGGCGAATTTTTGGAGGGTTTACGTTATAAACGTAATAAATCAACTAAATATTGTATAGTAAAAATTCATAATATAATAATAATAATATAAAATACATTAAAATACATTTTATTGAATTAGTTTTCAAATATCTATATGAAGGAGACAAACTCACGAGATTAATATCTTAAACAGCCATCGCCCATCATATCATCTTTACTTTAAACTTGGTGTACTAAAATATTATTTTAAGTGATTAATCAAAAATCAAAATAACTAAATTATAGATGATTAAAGAAATAATCTTCTTTCATTATAATACAAATGCATTTTATGCATTTCAACGAGGTAGGTATTATTTAATCTATATTTAAAATGAGAGAAGCACGTCAAATATAAAAAGATAAAAAAATGATATATGATTAATTTATACTTTTGCTATCACTTTAGATTGTTTTAAATTTAAAATTATCAAAAGTTTTCAAATTTAACACTACAACAAATTATGTTACTATATATTATAATATAATATATTTTATTAAATACCTACCAATCAACATTTTTTACCAAGTAGTTGTTAAATATCTAATTAGCTATTAAATTTTAAAGTTTAAACTATAGTTTTAAGTATATCTATACGTTTTAAAATGCATAATAATTTTCTATATATCTATACATTGGTAATTGGTATACAAGAAGTTATTGCAACTATTTTTTTATAGAATTGTAATTTAAATTTAATTTAAAAAGTTCTTTAAAGTTCAAACTTAAAAGTAATTATAAAATTGTTGACTTTTCATCAGGTTTTATGGATATTTATTTTATAATATTATGTACAAAAATAAATACAATTTTTTGTGGGGTTTAGGTAACTATTTAACTAATTAGGTACTTTATTCGTTGAGAAGCATAAACATAGTGGTACATTTTTTATCATTACTATTTATATAGTCACTAATGACATCAAAATAATATTAATAATAGTTTTTTTTTTCATAAAAAATATAATTCTATTTATAATATCTAATTATATATTTATTGATTAGTATCTTCCAGATTCAAATAGGATAATAGGAATATATTATTTAATTGTACAAAAATAGAGGATCTTATTAGAGTATCTATATTCAAATTGTGTATTTATTGTATCATCATTCATCACTAATGTGAATAGGATATTTTGTTCTTTTTGGAAAAGACCATCCATCTCAGAATAAAATATAAACTAAATACATTTTCATCACTAATATTGGCTAGGTACCTTAAAAAAAAAAATTGTTTTTCATTAATAAAAAAAAAAAAAAAATTGCATAATGTTTTTTCCTTACATAAATATTATTTTATTACGTAGTTGGTATAACTATAATTTTGTCTTCTATAATTTTTTTAATTAAACCAGTAGATACGTTTTTATTTTTGATCTTTAATGCTGTTAATCAGTATAAATAAACCTTGCGTCAAGTGTAAGTAAGTTGTATTGGCCAGTTATGTACTCAGTGTATAGTATAGTGATTAGTGATCAAGTGAAAACATATTATTTATTAAATATACTGATTAAATTTAATCTATAATTTTTATAGTAGGCACTTATTTTAATAATACGAGTACATCGCGAATTTGCAATATTTTAAATAATTTATTTTTAGATTTATATTAGTTGTGTTTATTTTGTTGATTTGAGTAAAATATATTATTTTAAATTAATTTAATTTAATTTTTAAATGTTCAGTTATTTTTAAGAGAGCCGGGAGGGAATTAAATAGTGATCTGACAAAAATATTTTTGCGCAAGATTACGTAGGTGATTCATTGAATTAAACTTTAAGAACTATATATTTTTATGGATACATTTGAAGCCAACAAATTTAATGTATATTATTTATAATATTCGACTAAACGTGTGAGGTGAATAGGTGAAATATGTTCAAATCAACTTGGTTATAATAAAAAGTTGTTATTATTTATGAACAATACAATATGATTAATAGGTATGTATGAGCATATTATGCTATAACACAAAAATTACATAAATCCATCAGCAACAGCTGTTCTGTGAATACTGTGGATATACCGTAGTGCAGTGTACGGTAATAAATTATTGTAACGTTTGGTCAGCCCGAGCGGTCGATGACGTCGGCGGTGTGTTAAAACCCGCTGCCTCCCTATATCGGCTGACAGTATAAAAGGAGTCGTAGCACATGGTGAAACTTGGGTTCTTTCGCACGAGAAACCCCGCACTTCTTGCCATTCTGCACTAGTGCACTTCAGAATCGCTGTAGCTGTCGCGATCGTGTTGTTGCGTCCATCGGGTTCTTCTTACGCGAAAATAACGTTTTCCTTGTACTCACTGCCGCAGTCCGCACTCACCCGACACCGTAAAACATTTAAATAAAACCGTATACCGTTGTTTCCATTGGCCCCTTCAAACATGTCCCAATCGTCCGTGGTAAGTAGTACTTATTTTTACTTACTAAGTACACTCGTTTGGGCATATTGTTCCCGATAATTTGCAATATTACTATTGTCGTCATCGTTAAATGACGCGCGTCGGTCAACCTACAATTTTGCCCCGGCCTTAACCATATTTTTCATTATAGGTAGTATGATATTGCCACATATGCGCTGGGTCACATTTAGTTTTCGGTCACATAATAATTATTTTAATAATTTCTTTTATATATTATATTGAACGTTTGTTATATTAAGTATTTAGTTTTTGCTTTGGGCTGGGCCATAAACAGAAAAAAAGTTTCACTCTTCACGACTAATAAAAAATTGACTTATTACCATAAGGCAATGATTTGGTCGTTATACTTACATAAATACATAATATTTGTGACTCGCACTTGAAAGGTTAATTTTGTAGGTCATTAAATTTGATTTGTGCTTTAGTATTATATTTCTGTAATATCTGTAGGTATTTTTGTTTTTTAATTATTGTTATTACATAATATTATGTTATTCCACAATTTTAAAAACTTGTATTTGGGATTTAATGAATACTTTCTTAATTCTTTTTTCAATATTATTCTATATAGATATTAAATTTGTACTTATATTTTATTAAAATATTAATAAGTACTTAAAGCATTTAAATTATAAAATCTAAATACCTATGTATATTTTAAAATAATGAAAATTATTAAATATGTGCTTACTAGATAAAAAAAAGAATGATAAACTTGTTTTTTTTAAACTTATTTCACATAGGCAACATAAGATTGTAATACAATTTGTTATTATATGGATAATTTAAAACATCATAGTATATATAATTTTTATACTTAATTGTATAATACTTGTGTTCAATTCTTTTCTTTTTTTTTAATTCATTATTAATATTGTATTTTTTAAAGTAAATTATATTATTTTTTTATAAGGTCTTAATTTTTAAGCCAATATTAGTATTTTAAATAGTGGATAAAATGGATATAATCAATTGAAATATTACACTATTTTCACTGATTTTATTAGAATATTTATACCTATAATTTTTCAGTTCACCAAGCATTTACAATTTTATTCTAATATGGTTAAGATTAAGAATATTGATTCTGAATTAAACATTTATCTTATCTGTTAAGCTCATTTTTATTATCTAATTCAATTATTTTTAAATTATAATCAGCATGGAAAATTGTATTTTTATTTTTTCAAATTATTACTAAGCTTATTATAATTTGTTTTAGTAAAATTGATTATTATTATTTAATTATTTTAAATTTAAAAGGTATTTGTGTATTTAAAACAATATTTTTAAAATTAAAAATGGTTACAGTCTAAGATAAAGAGTGAGATTATTTTACAGGTTTTGGACCACTTTTTTTCAAATCTTAACAGTTGCTGAATGTCAACTTGAACTTGATAGATTACGCTTACTTTATTTAAAATCTCTGTTATCTGGGTACCTATCTAGTACCTATTGAGAATATCATTATTATCTATCTTAAATGACTTGTATCATATCTTATATTATGTTTTTCCACTTTGTTGTGTGAGTATGTTTTTTTTTTTTTGAGAAGATTGTGGTGGCTATCATCTTAGGCCTTTTTATCATACTTCAAGTTTTATTTTTATCTACATTAAAGTTCAGTACACACCTTAATGTGACCATCTGATTTGAATAATACATTTTTATAATAAATTATAATTATTATTTTAAATATTTTTATATACATTTTTTAAAAACTACTATTCACCAATACACACACACACATTCTAGTCCCAAATAAGGACTTTCCTATGTTATACCTTGTCTAAAAATATGTTTATTTTAATAAAAAAAAAAATAATAGGATTTATATAATATTAGTAAATATTTATTGTTCATTTCAGTTGAAATTATATCAATCTGTAATTGAAGATACAATAAATAGCTCTCGAGAATTTTTTGCGGAGGAAGGTATTGATGATCAAATTTTAATGGAGTTACGTCAATCATGGGAATCTAAAGTAATGGCTAGTAAAGCAGTTGATGCACCACTTCCTCAAGAAATTACTCAACTTCCTAAAACTGTTACTTCAACTGTTGTTAAACAAACTAAAAGTCAATATGCTCCTACAATAGTCAGTAAGTATTTTTTTATCTTAAATCATTAATAAATATGTTTTTTAAATGTGTTATTGTATATTTATGTTATCAATTATTATTTTTAGATAACTCTGTTCATCAATTAAAAATGGTTCAACAACAAAAAATACAACAGCAACAACAGCAGCAACATCAGCAACATCAGCAATCACTTCAGCCACAGCAGCAACAACTACCACAGCAACAACAATTACCACAGCAGCAACAACTACCACAGAAGCAACAACAGCAGCTACAGCTACAGCAACAGCAAAAGCAGCCACAACAGCAACAGTCACAACAGAACACTATAGTTTTACCTGCAGATTATGCAAATAAATATGTACCAATTCAAATAACCTTACCAGCTCAGACTGGTTCCCAAGAAACGGGTTCTAGAATTCTTTCTATTCAAGTTCCAAGTTCTGCCATACAAGGTTTGTTTTATGTTTGGGTTAAAATATTCTTTTTTAAAACTTTTAAATACTGTTATTATTAATTTATATGTTTGTAGGAAACATGCTACAGAGTATTCTTAGTGGTCCAGTAATAACTAATAGTATGGCAATGACTACTCCGCTAGCTACATCTTTTTTACAACAACATGTCAATAGTGTACTTGCTGCTCAATCAATTTCTAGTAAGTTACTTTTTTAGATACTTTAGCACCAGTCTAATGTGCGACTTACGACTGATAATCTTTGCCGAGCCTATGTGTGATCTACGGCCAATATGTGTTTTCCTATCTAGCTATTGGCTATGCATGGCATGGGGAAATATAATCCATAGTGATGAATAGAGATTTTATTCACCATTAAATAATGAAGGATACACAATGCCGTTAATAATCTAAAATGGTTTATCGATCTTGATACAAATGCCAATATCCAAACCATAGAATGTTTGTGGAAAATATTAAAAATGCAGTATGTAATAAGAGTAAACAGCATATCTCCAGTGTTACCTAGATAATTTAAAGAGGAGTAGTGGAAATCCCTTCACTCAAACAAGTAAACTATGTTTGACAAATTTTTATCAGATATGAAAGATGCTTGTATGACATAAATTATACATAAATTATGATGAATTGGGTCGCACACTGGACTGAAAATATATGTGTAGGTCGCACATTGGACCGGCACTGAAACTTTTGTTTTATCATAATATTATATACATTTTTATGATGTTACTAGGTGTTCAAAATGTTGTACAACCAGAATTTTTGTCAGATGTTCGAAATACTCAGCAACAGCAACAACTTCAACAAAATAATCAAGCATTTATTAGCGGGAATGTGACTGGTGGTGTTAAAAGAACCATTGCTCAGATAGATGGAGCTAACGATTCTTCAACATCAGATGATGACGACGATGATGATGATGATGATGATTTAGATGATATTGGTGATAATGATGATGATGATGATGATGAAGACGATGAAAAAGATCAGAATAGTGCTTCTGATGCTGTAAGCATACATACTTTAAATTAATTAAGTAGATTTCAATAGCTGAAAACTGTTAAAATATCAAGTTTAATGAATTATATTTGGTAGGTAAAATATGTTTTTTAATTTTTACAAATAAAGAATAAAATATTTTTTTGCAATTATTTATGCATTTAGTATTAATTTGTTTATGATAGTTATTCGATGAATTCAAAAGTATAATACTTATATAATAACTGTAACATATTTATTTTTAAACAGCTTAATTAAAATATTTAATTTTAAATTTAATATTAGTTAAAATAAGATTAACGTTAAATATTTAGTACATAGTTCATATAACTATTTATAATAGGTATGAACTTTGTATCATAATTATTGTATTTTTATAAAGTTATATATATGACAGCTACATTGAAATTGTGTACAAACAATATTGTTTATTAAATATAATTCTAACTTTAAATAATTGGATTTTTTTTAGTAAAATGATCAAAATTTAATTTTAATTTTAAATGTACAAATATATTTTGTTTTTTAGGAGCCATTGAATTCTGGTGATGATGTAAGTGATATTGACAATGGTGAATTATTTGAAACTGAAAATGTTATTGTTTGCCAATATGATAAGGTAAATTAAATTTTTAATTTATGTAATTAATCAAGTATAATGTTACTCCAAATAAAATGTGATTTTGTTTGTATGGTTTTAATTAATATTTTTCATTCAAAAAACAAATTATATGAACATATGTTTTTATTTGTTACTGTAGATTACTCGTAGCAGGAATAAATGGAAACTTTATTTTAAAGATGGGATAATGAGTTTAAATGGTTACGACTATGTCTTCCAAAAAGCAACTGGTGATGCTGAGTGGTAAGAGGTGATATATTTTGTGTTATAGTTACAATAAATGTTAACTACTCTGTAATGATCAATTGTATGTTTTAAATGAATTGTTCTCAAGTCTTCTTTGATGTATAATATTAATTTAGATTATTAAGTAAATTCCCAAATAGTTATTTGATTTATATACATACAATTATATCATATTCTTTTGGAAAATGTGGAGGTATTATATTTTAACAATCAATAAAGTTTCCTATCAAGTTAGTTTGAATAACACTAATACAATATATAATATATTTTTATTTTATATTTATTGGTAATTTGTTTATATTTATTTGTTTATTATAAAAGTATGGTATTAAATAGGCCAATGTTAAATAATATTAACCTAAATATGTATCTTAAATAAACATCAAGAAAATGAAAATAAAACATTCCAAGATGATTAAGAATGAACAATATTAACAACAGCAAAAGTATAGTTCTACATTAAAATTTTGAATCATTATTACTAGATATTAATTAGCTTCATGGTTACTGGTCACTACCTACTAACACAGAAAAAGAATATCACTTCCTTGAAGACTAATAATTTTAAAATCCAATACATTTAGGGTGTATATATTTATATTAGCTGCATGGCAGAGTGACGTGATGTCAAGTATTGCCATCAGTCCAAATACTGTAATAGTTGGTCTCTAATGCTAAAAGCAATGAAAAGCCACTACATTTTGTCTATTTTAGTCATACAGCAGTTCTAAGTAGATTAAAAATTAACTGTTGTGAAATAAACCTGATGGTTATTAAAATTATAAATGTACATTATAACTATTTTTTTTTTTAAAGTGAAAACATTTTTTTCTACTATTTTAATAAAAATCAATATTAATAATTATTATTAAAATTTATTTTATTAATATAAATTATTATAAAAGACTGCTATAGGAATATAATTTATTATAAATCAAAATATTTTAAAATTGAATCTTTTATGATGCTACATTTACAATGTTTTAATTGTTAATTTTTTAAAAAAAATTCAAGAAACCATAAAAAAAAACCTAATTTAATTAAGAACATAAACAAATATTAATTTTAACTAAATTTTTTTTTTATTGAATAAAATATGCTTAATAGATTTGTGAATAATTAAAAAAAAAGTCAAATGAATCTCCCCAGTTTGAATTTTGAGTAAGTGGGTGATAGCTATTTTATAATGCATAAAAATTAATATAACATTAATAATTATTCTATCAAATTATCATCTTTTTTTTTATCTGATACACTAAATAGGTACTATAGTTTAATTTTTATGTAGTTTATGCATAATTCATCACTGATACAACAAAATAAAAGAACACTATTATTTTATATTTTATTTCATGTAACATGCAATTATTTGTTGGTTGAGTTGTCTTTAAAATTTAAATTGTTGAATAATACTATTTTGGAATATAAACACATCTTTACAGCTCTTAATATTATAGTCATATACTTATGTTTTATAATTAATTAAAATTACATGTTATACTAATATATACATAAGTATTAATTTGTATACTTTTATTATTTATAAAAACCATATTGGTAATGTCTGCACACTTCTGGTAAATATCAATAGATAATGTAATTATGAATTATAAAATAAAAAATAGTAACTGAATAATTAATTATATAAGTTACATATTTATATAATTGGAATTTTAATTTATTAATTAATCATTATAAACACAGTTACAAAATTAAGTTTAAATATTAAACACTTAATATTATTAGTTCATCACTTTATCAGTACATATTTAAAATTTAGGTAAGTAAAGTTGTATGAAAATAGTATCACCAATATACTCTGCTTTTCTACAACTCATAAGTCATAAACAACTCGTCCAAATTTCAATTTTTATGTATCAAAATATAAAAAATATTTTGCTTTAAAATACGAACTCAAAAATGTATGATATTATTAAAAAAAAATAAAGAAAATATAATAATTTTTGAAATAACATATGGTTCTGAATAAATAAAAAAATCATCCTTTTATACTTAAATTTAATATCACGAATAATAATATTAGATTCTAAGCGAAACTATTTTATTATATATAAATACTTCAATGTTAAATTATTTTGTCACTTGTTTCGTACGTCAATAATCATTTATATTTCTGCAATAAATATATTCAGTGACCATGTAGTTCCAAAATTGAAAACCGAATTGAATCCAATATAAATGTAGCAAAAATCTTTATTCTTGAACGATATAGAGATTCCCTGCACATTTTCATAAATAAGAAAGCAATAAAATGGAATAATAATAAAGATGATTCCTTTAAGTATCTTGGCATGTTCTTAGATGAAAAACCGATTTGGAAAATTAATTTGGATAAAAAACTCTCCCAAGGATATGTAAGAATGCATACACTTTAAACCTTTATTAACTATAAATCAATCCTCCAATTAAAATCATTCATATTGATGTACACTTCAATAATTCGACTACTAATCACTTACGCCTGTCCTATATTGGTAGCAGTCTCTTCAACCAAAATTTACAAAATCCAAATGTTCAATATAATTTTTTTAAATAGGGAGATAGGTAGGAGGTAGGTAATCACTAACCATTCTTATTTTATTAAATATTTTCTAACTTTAAATGTAGTTAACTACATTTATAAAATTTATAAAGTGTTTACAAAGTTGGTATTATCAACAAAATAAAATTTAGTGCATTTTCTAAATTATTAATGCAAATATTTTTATGTTTTAAGCTCGTATTTGAATGTCTCTTTGACTAATAGTACTACAATTCCAGAATCTTGATGGCACTTTGTCTCATTCTTCTATTACTAATGCGTGCATAGAGTATAGTAAACAATAATTTACAATTTTATTAAAATTAAACTTTAAAATTTGTAGTAATTTTCTGTATTGATGAGTAGGTATCTATCTGAGAAATCAGTTCTGTATGGTACTACTAGAGTGCGCTACATAATACTGTAAAATTAAAAATTATTTTTTAATTTGCTATTTTATTATGAATTGTAGTAACAGAAAATGTAATTAATTTCTACCATTATGGCATTAAGATAGATGAGGTTTATATGTGTGTAGAAAATAGTTTAGATTTAATTTAAGTAAATAATATAAATAATCCGAACATTATTATTTTATTTAGTTGTCGAAAATTTACAAGAGATGGTACCTGAGTATAAAATCATTAACGTTATTGGCGTCTGTACTAATTATTATTTTAATGTTTTACGTGGTCATTGATAAACATACATAGATAGTCCATGTGAAATAAAAGGAAAATAATTGAAATTAGTTAGAAGAATTTGATTTGGAATTTAGTATAATTCTACACAGAGTGCGTTTAAATTTTAATAACATATCTTTGCAACTTGTATTCTGCTATTATATTATCTATAAAGATCTATACCAATTATTATCATTTTTATTTTATATTTACCAATGTTTGTTTTGTTAATATATATAAATAGTAAATTTTGTTTAATGTAAATGTACGTATTAGTATTATTAAGACATTACGTTGCAGTAAATTAATCTATGTTCATGGGAACAAAGTGTATTTATTTGGGAACATTCAAGAATCAATCCAAATTTGAGTTTGTTTGATTCTGCGATCTTGAAAGACTCATATACATGGATTACAAATAATGTGAACATACACTCTCATTAACTAGGAAACTTTCGATAATTTAAATCAAATGTCACTTGAAAATTCTTGGCAATCTGAACAAAATCATTCATTATGTACACTGGTAATTCAGCAATACGTAACTGAACGAAGTACACCTA